TCTTAGATCTGCAATCACCAAGCTCCGTAGAATATTGTAACCTCCCATTGTAACCTCCCATGTATAATGAAAGTTAAAGTTATCACCAAGCTCCGTACTCCCATTGTAACCTCCCATGTATAATTAAAGTTATAAATTATCTACATATATTCATTTTTAAAAAAGAATTCTGTACATTTTATACATACAACAAAACGTCGACACCATTGAGTAGGGCATGCTTTAGAATAAATTTAAAAAAAAAAATTAAAAGTTGTGGAAATAATAAATAACAGCATTTTTTTCTGATTTTAAGTTAACCGTCATATCAAATTTTCGACATTTTATTTTACAAAAGGTAAATTTGATTATTATGCGTCAATGAAGCGTTAATAGAAAAAGGTTGAAAAAATATTCAAAATATTCTTTTAGGATTTTTTTTTTTGCATTTTTATTTTTAATGAAAATTCAAATCTAAAGTTAAGGTCAACAGTTTATTTACCTCAAAAATGTTAAAAAATATTTTTATTATTTTTTTGTTTTCCAAGAAAATTGTCCAACAATGTAAAAGATTTGAACAAATAAATTGAAATTTCCATTTTTATTCTGAAAACATTTTAATAAAAACCTTCATATGAAGTACTTGTGGGTGTGCATATTAGCAGGTATATGGAACAAACAATTCATAATATTTCAAACATTTAAAACATAAATTAAATTTTTAGATTAAATCTGTCCATCAAAAAATTATTTATTTTTTTTTAATTTTTAAACACAAAATATTCTGTTAACTTTATACAGTACTCATTATAGTTACTCAGTAATCGTATATTAGTTACCATTTTATTGTTATACAGATGTTATACAGATATTACGAAAATTCAAGACCTTCATATATGTTATAATAATATAACTTTGATGTTATCATGTTATTTATTGTGTTATTTTATGTATTACAAATAAATTTTAAAAATTTTAAATTTAGATCTGTTAATTAATTCAATAAAAAAACAATAATCTGTTATAAATATTAATATTTCATTACATTTTAAGTCATTTATATTCATATATGATTTTTGACTCATAGAAAAACACTCACTAACTGTTTATCAATATCAAAAATAAATTTTATTTATTTATTTACTTATACTGTATAATAGAAATAATTTATACACACGTATAATTCGAATATTAATATTATTATTAAAATAATTTAATAATATCACACACACCCATTGTTTGCATATTATAATAAATTCAATATTTTTAGATGCAATGTAATATTAAATAAGAGCATCATCTTAAAGGATTATTCCACTTTATAATAACATTATATATGATTATATATGTACTATATACTGATATTTATAATCTATATAGATTTAATGGGATTGACTTAATCAAAGAATATTTTGATTCATTTAATTATACGCCTTAGATATATTTACATCACCGTAGAAAATATATATGTATATAGCTATACTATTGTTGTTATTATTTTATATTCAATACCGATTTAAACACAATATAATAATAACAAAGAGTATAACATAATAATAATTCTTTATAATACTTATTATGCACGAATTGTTTGACTTATTGAATTATATGTGATGATTTTTCATTGATTACATTATTCTAGTGAATAGATATCAATTAAATATTGTTCGTATTTTAATTTGAGCATTAAAATATAATAATACTAAATTATCCTTTTCTTGAATATCCTTTGCGATGTTATTCTATTGTTATTAACAATTAATAAAGAACAATTAATGACAGCCGGATAATTAGCGGGGATCCAATAGACGGTGTAATCTTTGCTCTATAGAAGGCATCGCGTGCGGTTAGAGTTCGCATGTTAAAAGGCGCCTGAAGTTATTATCAAACGGTTGTTGGTAATTTTCCGTAGTTGCTTCTGTCTTGATTATGTACCTTAAGAATGAAGAGGAAGGAGGACGTTTTTATTCCGAAAACTGGAAACAGTTTGCACTTTGAAGCTAAAGATTGGAAGTTAATATGGAAAAATTACTGGATAAAAACATCACCGCAATATAAAAAGTAAACGATGGCGGGCTTCGTATCAATATAAAGTGCGCTTTTAAGAACATCACTATTTACCCGGATGACATGACGATGCTCCTCTCATAATATGACGACGATAAATTTCCAGGCGCCATGAGGCAGTTGTGGCCTATATGTAAACCCCTCCAAAACAAAGTCAATGAAGAGGAAGATTTCGGATATGCAGCACTTTAATTATTTATACATATTTCAATTTTTAAAAACTACTTTTTACATTACTCATTAAAAAATGATTTATTCTTCAAACGCATTCAAATTATTGAACAAATGTTTGCATATTTTTGGGAGGCCGCATATAAGTTTTCAATAATAATAAATTTTGTTGCATATTTCAAGTTTATAACACTGATTCATGATCACAAAAATTTACCAGCAGACTTTTATAATTTTCTAATATTGCGTCGTTATTAATTTATAAATGCAATATGCCTTAAAAAAAATCTAAATTCTATAATTTATTTTCTTATTTAAATGAACTCAGAAAATAATTTTTTAAAATATGCACAATTATATTTTTGTATCCATGTATGTGTATATATAAAGCAATCCGCTAACATTTTGTGAATTAATAAAAAAAATCCTGTGCTGAAAATTATAAACTTTTCAACTAAAATTAAAACTTATTGAATTTTATTAAAAGAATGTTTATGTGATTTTTGTCATCAATTCTTGATTTTTTTTTCTTCTTATTTCTTAAGAATCCTAATATTTTCAGGTTTTTTTTTCTCAATAATACTTTCCATATACTTTTATTTGAAGAAAAAGTTTTTCTTCTTCATACTTATGCTATTATTTTAGTTCAATTACAAAACTATAAATGTGGGTATTTTTTTTTTTTGGTCTTTTTAGTATTAAAATATTATATTTAAACATATACATACACATCTATTATAATATACATACGAAACAAGAAAAAGTACAAAATCAAAAAAAAAAAGTATGCTATAAATGTTAAAATGGGATTTTATTAATAAAATTCCCTTTAGCTGACATTTACTTTTGCTTTTGTATATTCAATGCCTTATAACTTTCATTTTCTTATGTATTCTTTACTCTAATATAAACAGAAGAAACTTAAAAAGCATAAAAGAAAAAAAAATTTTCAAACTAAAATATGGAAAAATATAAAAAATGAAAATTATATAAAAACATAAATACACACTCACACCCCAAGAGAGATACAAAATAACACCAACAAAATACAAAAAAAACCAAATGTCCTTTTATAAGGATGTGCACTTCAATAACAAAACTTTGCTTTTATGTGAAAGGATAAATTCTAAACTTTTCCTATTACGGCTTAACATGAACTTAAATATCAAGTAAAAAATAAAAAAAAAATGGAAAACTATAGTACAATTTTTATAATTTCTTATAATTTTTTCGACTTTTATAAACCCTGTCGAAAAAAGAAAACTTTCTCTTCTTCTTTCTTATATAGGTTTTTTACTACTTTTATTTTTCTTTCTGTTTTTCTTTTCTAATTTTATTTAAATTTTTGCTTTCTCTTAAGATTATTTTGATGGTTATCACTTTTTTTTTTCTCTTACATACTTTTTAATTTTTTATTTACTTATTCTAAAAAACTAAAATGTATTTGTGTAACTTTTGTTTTTCTCACAATGTGTGTATCATATGAAAAATTTTGGTAATGCTTTGTGGGAAATCAAAAATGTTATCATAAGCATATTTCTTCGATATTTTTTTTGGCATGAATTAACACACACACAGACACATGCAAGCACAAAAATGTACACACTTTAATTTTTTTTGAATAGAAGAAGTTAAATAAAAAAATAATAAAAAAAAAATAGTTTAAATTTCAAATAAAAAAAAAAAGTATGAGAGTATAAAAATTTTCTTTCTTTCCCATAAAAATTTTGAGTATTCTACAATTACGAAACAGAAAAATTACGCCTGAATCTTGAATTGTTAAAAATATTTTTAAAAAAATTATCAAAAATGAGATCAATTATTCAATAAAAAATTGTCCTTAAATATTTTGAATATTTATTAAAAATTTTGTTTTAGGTAATTTTGAAACTGTTTATAAATATTAAGAAACTCTCAAAATTCCAAAACTGGTACACTGAAAATCAGTCAATTAAACTTAAATTAAATTTTCTATTTCATTATGTAGTTAAATAAAATTTGTATATTGATCGGCAAAGAAAATGGTTTACTTAAACATCTGAAATCTTAGATTTCTATATAAAATACGCAATAGAGCTCATTTAAAACTTCTCTAGCTCATAATTAAAATATTTAACCAAAAAATAATGTATTTAATACTTTACTTTTCTTTAATATTAAATACGAGTACGTCTTTTATTTACAGAAAATATATACAAAATTCTTGAAAGTAAAGTAAGGTGTTGTATGATATTTAAAAATAATTAAAATGGAAAATTATTTAACCACATCATTTTGAACACAAATTAAAGTAAAGGAACCATTTTAATAAGATTTTATTAAAATGGTTCCTTTACAACAAAGTGTAGCATAAAATAAAACGATCATGTATTGTACTACATTACACCACGTATTGTAGTAAAAAGTAAACTGTTTAACTCAAATAAATCTCAATAGTGTACTTATTTATATTATATTTTGGATATTATAATATAGTGCTACTATATTTTAGGAAAGATATTACTAATTAATATTCAAGATCAACAACAATTTCTTAAATTTCTAAAATTATGCAACATTATTGCAAATCCATATGGTTTTACAACATAGAATTTCAGCAACACTAACCAAATTATAAAATAACTTACAAAAACAAAAAGTCAACAGAAGTATTAATTTCTGGTATAAAAACGCTCCTTAAAAAGATAGTAAAGATTTTCAGTTATATAAACGTAGATGTTCTAAAGCTCAATAAATTAGTATCACTTTAGATTTTTAAAAAATAATTCACATTGTTTAACAACTAGAGCTACAAAATTATTTATTACTAGTTAAATATTTGGCATTCTTAAACATTCTACATGTTATACATTAAATCCCACAATTTTTTTACACAGTTCAATTTATCTTCAATTAATTTTAGAACCATAACTCATTTCTTTTTTAATTTTTGTTTTTCAGTTTTTCTTGCCTTCCCACGACAAATACATTTAATAATTTTGATAGTTACATATAAAATAAATATAACAATCAATAAAACAATCGAAATGAAGTCATAAGAATTTGCAATAAAATATCCTAGTTCTAAAGTTGGTACTTTTAAATGTGTTGGATTGGGATGTCTCAAAACATATTCAATCCACCAAATTGCTGTATCTAATGGCTTCATTGGTCGGTCTTTGAATATTTCTGATTGCTTTTTGATATTATTTATATATTTTTCGTTGTGTAAAATATCATTAAGAGCATTATGAAAAGATTCGCCGGTAAATTTTGAAAAATTAATTTCAGTCGCGATACCATCTTCGACGACTTTTTGGCTATTCTACAATTAAAATAACAATATATACTAATAATTTCAAATTGGTTAAGAAAATACTTACTCTTAACTGATCAACAAATACTGGTACTGTAATCATTGGAACACCAAACCATATTGCTTCCTGAGTACTTAATCCACCAGCATGTGTGATAAAACATTTTGTCTTTTTATTAGCTATAAAAAATATAAATGTCAAATTTGATTAAAACTAATATTTAATTAAACTTACCTAAAATATCTCGCTGAGGGAAAAACGTTTGAACCAGAACGTTCTTTGGAATTTTCATTTTAATTAAATTAACATCGAATTTCCACATGAAATTATATTCTGGAAATTTTTCCATTACTTTTAAAATATTTTCAATCATTTCCGATTTCACAAATTTTGGTTGAACATTAGTTCCTAGTGAAAAGAAAATAGCACCCTTTTTTGATGAATTTATAAAACTATCTAGCTCTTTTGGCAATGGTTGTGAGTCAACTATATTGAGGCCACCAACTTCAATGATGTTCTGTGGTAATGGCTGAGCTTTTGTTATTGCTGGATGTGTTCCAATAAGTGCAATTGTTGTTAACTTCTCTAAATCAGCCAAATATGGAGTATCAGCGGGAAATACCGGTCTTATCATTTTATCTAACTGTGGATTCATTGAATAGTATCGGTATCTACAAACAAATAAATAAAAATAGTGAAATGTAAATTAATATGGAACTTTAACAATTTACTATTTTTCTCATGAAATAATATTTATTTGCAATAAATTTGGAACTATTTAGAAATGGAAAATAATTAAGTTTGAATTTGGAATTAAAGTTTTATTCTAGCATAAAGTCTAAAAAATCTAAGGTTGTTAAAAAGGTGCAAAATTTTAGAATTTTACAACTTTTGTTTTTACTCTAAAACCATCTTAAATTTATCTTGACTTTAAGTTTTAAAATGTTTTAAAACTTAACGTCCAGATAACCTACAATTTTTTAGTACTACCTTACAAAGTTATTCTTATTTGTGAATAAATTTTAGACCCAAATAGTTTCTATCAATTATATTTTAAAAATTGAAGTGAAATAATTTTATATCAATGTTGACAAAGAACAAATTTATTTGTATGTGTAGCGTTTTATGTACACAAAACAACAGAACGTTCTTTCAGACAATTTTTGTCTTTAATTTGTTCTAAATATAGGATAAAGTGAGATGTTATTATCTCTCGTGAGATGTTATTATATATCGGATGCCATTTAGCGAAAAATCGCAAATTTTCACAGAACCCCCAATTTTTATACCCGTACGAACGTATGTTCGAAGGGTATACTAAATTTGCCTTACCGTTTGTAACGCTAAGAAATAACGGTGTTAGATATAGACTCAAGTGTATGTTTTTGATCAGCGTCAAATTCTGAGTTGATTTAGCTTTGTCTGTCCGTCCGTCCGTCCGTCCGTCCGTCCGTCCGTCCGTCCGTCCGTCCGTCCGAACGATAACTCAAAAACTAATTGAGCTAAGTTCACCAAATTTTCACAAATGATTTATTGTAGTAAGTGCCAGAACCCTATTTAAATTGGACATGATCGGGGTACCGGTTCGGGTAGCTGCCATACAACTTCAAAATTTATTTGGCTATATCTCAGAAACTATAAAAGTTATGGTATTGAAATTTCACACAAACGAATATATTAGTAGGGCCAATGTGTCACATAAAAGTCATTGAAATTACTTGGCTCCTTCTGGTACCTGCCATACAACTTCAAAAGTTATTTGGCTATATTTCAGAAACTATTAAAGCTATGGTATTGAAATTTCACACAAACGAATATATTAGTAGGGCCAATGTGTCACATAAAAGTCATTGAAATTACTTGGCTCCTTCTGGTACCTGCCATACAACTTCAAAAGTTATTTGACTATATTTCAGAAGCTATTAAAGCTATGGTATTGAAATTTCACACAAACGAATAAATTAGTAGGGCCAATGTGTCTCATAAAAGCCGTTGAAATTACTTGGCTCCTTCTGGTACCTGCCATACAACTTCAAAAGTTATTTGACTATAACTCAGAAACTATAAAAGCTGTGATATTGAGATTTCACACAAGTGAATATATTAGTAGGGCCGATGTGCTTGATAAAATTCGCTAAAATTTCTTGGCTCTTTCTGGTAGCTGCCATACAACATCAATAGTAGTTTGGCACAACCAGTATTTTGAATAACACATAGTACTGAAATTTTGCATAAATTAATATGGTAATACGGCAACTTAAAGTCATAGTCTGCCCCATAGTTAGTTATGGCACATTAGTTATTCGCACATAGGATAACAAATTCGTACGGGTATCACAGAGTTGACAAGGTCAACTCTATTTTTTTTCTCGTTTATAGTAAAGCTAATGAAAAGTTTCTCCGTAAGAAATGTCACATTATAGCCTCGGAAACAACGTCACGTTCTTACATTTACAAGCAAAATTGAAATATCTTAAAAATGATGGACGTCTGCATTTTCTTTTTATTTTCTTGTATATTTCTGTTTTTCACCCAGCTTTAAAAGTAAATATTCTGATTTAAATAAGAAACCCGTTCCACACGTTTTCTTATCATTATATAAATAAATTTGTAAAACTTACAATTCTTCAGCAGCATATAACATATGATTGTGCATTCTATCTAAAAAGTTGTTGATAGGATCCCATGTAACGCTATGATAGCTAACGTAAGCAGGATAAAAATGTCCTCCAGTAAATTTTGTTGCTATCGGTACATAAGGAAATGCTGATACACTTATTAATGGTGGATAATTATACATGTGAACTAATCCAAGTAAACATGGACCAAAAGTATAATCGTACAATATTAAATCAAATTTTTCATTTTTATACTTTTCCATAAATAAAGAAAATCCTTTTGATTTTAAAGTAGCTTCACAAACTAATATATTGTACATACAATAGCCAGACATCATCTGTAGTGGGCTAATATCGAGGAAAGATTCGAAATCAGCTTCATTAAATAAATTTTGATACATATCATTCATATCAATAAAATGTACATTTTTATGTAAATCTTTTGGATTTTTCGGTAAATCCGATATTAAAACTGTTAAATTATGACCCCTGTTTGCTAAAGCATTTACTAATATTGTATTCCTATAAAAGATAAAAAGAAGTAAAATAATCAACAATAAAATTTTTATGATAATATTTCTTTATAATTTACTTACCATAATGAATGACTGGGTGAAGGAATATTCATTAAAGCCAAAATATTTGCACCATTGACCATATTTTGATAATTTGTGAATAAACTCAATAAAAATATCGGAAGCAACATTTTTTATTCAGCGATCTTTAATTTACGGTAAACAGAAAACTACTGATCTAAAAATAAAATTATTATTGTTAAATAATGTTGTTGTTTTCCTCACAGAATAAACTTTAAAAACTTTTATCTATTAGAATATGTATTAGAGTATTACGTCATAATTAGAGAAAAAGAATCATTTATACATGTACATATGTATGTACATAAAGTAAATTTATTGTCTTGCTACAAAACGAAAACAATTGAAATTATGTAATAAAAATTTTCTAAAATATTATGTAGTACGAGTATTAGTGGTATATAGTTAACTTATTAGAATAAACCTATAGTTTTTGTATTTTAATTAATTAAAAGCTTCTTTGATGTTTTGTACATTAGATAAAATAAAAAATACTAAATTTGACCTATTTTGGTTGACCTATTAAATTAAAATTCAGTCAAGTGTAATCATAAACGTACATGGGATAACAAACTTATCACACTGCGTTATTTTGTACACACATTATACGTTCTCGATGAAGAAAGCTTTTAAGCACTTTTTTAAAAAAGTGCTTATTAGTTTCACTCTGCTGTCCGTCTCCATCCAAGTGCGTAGAAGTTTTCATTTTTGAAGTACTCACGGGCTTCTTCTGCCTTGCATATAATTGTACTTTAAAAAAAACAAAACAGCACCTGAAATTTATTTTCGCTAAAATCTGTTTTTTTTTCAGATTTTTGATACTTTCTTTTGGACGGTAATATGTAGAATTATGAAATTTTAGCAGCTTTAAATACTAATAAATATTTTACTTTGTTGGAAGAATTTTTTTTTTCAAATTGGTCCCCTCAGAAATTATCGCCTTCAAAACTTGTAGAATTTGAATTTTCGAATTCTGTCTAATCAAATTTAATCAAATTTCTATAAATGCAGCAAGCGAAAGAGAAATGCCGTGGCATTAAAAAATATAATTATTTATTTTAAGAATTCAAGTCATTAACCCTTGAGTTAACCATTAAGTGAATGCCACTTTATTTTTTTTTGTTTCATCTTAAATGCGATCCTTTTCAATATTTTGTTATATAAATGAAAATAATTTAAACAATGTTTCTAACAGCAGTTGTTAAAGGAAAAAGTGCCACTTTACAAACCATTGGTTTGGCCCAACTTTATTTATATTTAATTATTGTATAAAAGAAATTGTATAATAAAAATATTAGTTATTAAAATAAAACTATAAATTAAAGTTATTAATTAAAATTATAAATTTCTGTTATACAACTCTATATATATGTATAATTAAAAGAACTCATCTTTGTATTTTCACTCAGAACCTTTTGATGAAGTAGATAACTTAAATTTCAAGTACTTGTCTGATAATTTCAAGTGCTAAAAAATTACACTATAAAATTAACACCAATTCAATAAATTTTCAAATCCATATGTAAGGTAAATAGTAATTGCAAGCACTAATCTTTTTCAATTAATTGATAAAATAATTGATAAATCGATAAAGCTATTAATTGTTTATCATATTATTTATAACTGGTTTACTAGTTTATTACGGTTTTATCTAGCTAAACTTAAAATATTAATATCAAAAAAGAAGCGTCTATGAATTTAGTCACTATTTACAATGAGTATAAAATGCCAATAATTTCTTTAAAATATTTCAAGTGCTAAAGATAAAATACATTATTTTGACTTTACGAGTATTACAATAAAAAACAACACTTACTTGTCAGCTTAATCGAATGAATTAAACTAAACCAAATTTTTAAAATATCATAGTTTTATTCAAATTAATTATCAGAATATGTTACGAGTATAGTCTTATCAAATATTGATAAAACACAATATTAATTTTAATCAATGAATAAACATTATAGAAATTACAAAAATTGAGTGATTAAAATTATTAAGGGCCACAGTTATACCGTTTTTTAAAATGGCTAGTGTTGGCAAATGAGTATTCTTATTATACAAATATTTCAAAAAAACGGTTCAGCTCGAAATTTTTTTCGTTATTAATGTAGTAACTCAATGTATATTTTAATTATAAAAGTTTTGAATTTTTTTTTTAAATAAGGTTAAAATTCCGAAATTGTGTAATATTTTTTATAATTTTTCTTTGCTTATTCTTATTACTTCACAATTATTCAGGTTTTGAGTAAAGAATTTCAGTACCATATAATACAGCAGATTTTCTGGACTACTTTTCGCTAAAATTATAATTTCTATATGTTTATTTCTATTACAATTTATGTCAAATTTATTTATACGCTTAATAACTGTAGTGTACAACAATTTAAGCTAGTTTTCCTTCAACTTTTCGTTTTTAATTTTTCTTGCTTTCGCAACAAATGCATTTAATTATTTTAATATCTAGATATAAAATGAACATAACAAATAATAAAACAATTAAAGCGAATTCATAAGAATTTGCAATAAAATATCCTAATTCTAAAGTTGGTACTTTTAAATGTGTTGGATTGGGATGTCTCAAAACATATTCAATCCACCAAATCGCTGTATCTAATGGTCTCATTGGTCTGTCTCTGAATATTTCTGATTGCTTTTTGATATTATTTATATATTTTGGATTATGTAAAATTTCATTAAGAGCATTATAAAAAGCCTCTCCAGTAAATTTCAAAAAGCTAACTTCAATTGCATTACCGTCTGCGACGACTTTATGACTATTCTACAATTAAAATAACAATATATACTAATAATTTCAAATTGTTTAAGAAAATACTTACTCTGAACTGATCAACAAATACTGGTATTGTAATCATTGGAACACCAAACCACATTGCTTCCTGAGTACTTAATCCACCAGCATGTGTGGCTATAAAAATTTTAAATGTCAAATTTGATTAAAACTAATATTTGATTAAACTTACCTAATATATCTCGCTGAGGGAAAAGCGTTTGAACCAAAACGTTCTTTGGAATTTTCATTTTAATTAGATTAACATCGAATTTCCACATGAAATTATATTCTGGAAGTTTTTCCATTACTTTTAAAATATTTTCAATTATTTCCGATTTCACATATTTTGGTTGGACATTAGTTCCTAGTGAAAAGAAAATAGCACCCTTTTTTGATGAATTTATAAAACTATCTAGCTCCTTTGGCAATGGTTGTGAGTCAACTATATTGAGGCCACCAACTTCAATGATGTTCCGTGGTAATGGCTGAGCTTTTGTTATTGCTGGATGTGTTCCAATAAGTGCAATTGTTGTTAACTTCTCTAAATCAGCCAAATATGGAGTATCAGCGGGAAATACCGCTGGATTCATTGAATAGTATCTGTATCTACAAAGCAAAAATTAAATAAATATTTTAATCATTATATAAAATTATAATTTATCATTTATTTAAAATCATATTATATTTAGAACAAAGAAACTTACAATTCTTCGACAACATACAAAATGTGATTATACATTCTATCGAAAAAGTTATTTTGAGGTTTTAAGGAAGCACTATGATAACTTATGTAAGAAGGATAAAAATGCCCTCCAGTAAATTTTGTTGCTAATGGTACGTAGGGAAATGTTGATATGCTTATTAATGGCGGATAATCATATTTGTGAACTAATCCAAGTAAACATGGACCAAAAGTATAATCGTATAATATTAAGTCAAATTTTTCATTTTTATACTTTTCCATAAATAAAGAAAATCCTTTTGATTTTAGAGTCGCTTGGCAAGTTAATATATTGTATGAGCAAAAACTATACATTGCCTTAAATGCATTAGCATCAATAAATTCCTCAACTTCAGCTTCATTCATTAAGTATTTGTGCATATCGCTCATATCTATAAAACGTACATTTTCATGCACATTATTTGGATTTTTTGGTAAATCACATATTAAAACTGTTAAATTATGACCTCTAGTACCCAAAGCATTTACTAGAACTGTATGCCTAAAATGAAAATTAATAGAAAAATTTAGATTTTTTTTAAAAGAAAGTAAGAATTAATTATAGCAACCACAAAGACATACTGGGTGAAGGGACATTTGCTAATACCAAAATATTTGCTGCATTTGCAATATTCTGAATATTCATTAAAAATGCAATTAAAAACATCGAAATCAACATATCGAAACACCAACTATATTCTAATTCAGAAAAAGCTTCACGTATTTTATTTATTAAATAATTGCGTTGTATCACCCAAGACAGCTGCAGTCAAACTAAACTAACACAAACATTTTTATCTCTCGCAAAATGAATGAATTTTAATAGTGTTTTAAAATGTTATAAATTATCACTGTAAATTGATTTAACAGAAAAAAGCTTAAAATATGTAGTAAAATCATTAAAAGCTACTTTACAATTGTATTAAATTAAAATAAATTTCTGTTGCTTATATTAGACCCCTACAAATTGTATATGGCAATAGTCATATTACAAACACAACTTACGTACTAAATTTATTAACTATGTTTTAAATTTTCTGTTATATTTGTTACTAACTTATCAGGAAGGAATGTGGTTTGGTGTTCCAATGATTAAAAGTTTTAGCCGAAGGTACTGCACAAACTAAATTTATAAATTTAAATTCTTTTATTTTAGCAGATTATACTCATGTAGTCAGCCTAACTTATTTTCAACACAATATTAGATTTAATCATTGAATAACAAACAATATTGAAATTGTCATAATAAACATTGAATGATTATTATTATATTATCAACTCACATTTAAGTTCTTTCTATACCCTAAGATTCTCTTTGCACCCTACACCTTCGTGAATTGAATATTAACTTTGGTACGAACTTTATAACCACTTGAGAGTGTTATCTCTGGTATGGACATCATATAAATATTTTTGTATTTTTGCTAAACATAAAATTCTGCGTTGATTTAGACATACCCGTCCATCCGATCGCATGATAACTCCAAAACGAATGAAGCAAACTTCACCAAACTTTCACAGATTGCTGATCGAGTGTCTAGTTATAGGTCAGACATTTTCATGAAATTCATATGGAATGGATTGACAGGTTGGAGTATACCTTATACTTGATGGTGGTTAATTCTAAATATTTCTAAAAATAGGCTTTTATAACCAGATTTTCAAGATGCAGGGTATAATTTAGTCAGTTTAGACTTAGTTTCATATTTGCACAGTATAGTTTACTGATACGAATTCAAATAATTAAGAACAACTGATTAGTTTCAACATTATACTAATAAAATTAATAATTACTTTTTTTAAGCGTTACATATAATGTGTGCGATAAAGTAACAACTTGTAGTTGTTATTCTCTTATACATTTAGAGCGTTGTATTAAACTTTCTTTTTGAATATGAATTCCATGAATTATCAATTGTTTTTCAAACTATGCGGGCTGAACTATTGCTACCTTGAATGCTTTTTAAGTGTTTTTTTTTAAATGTAATATCAAATATGAATTGAAATCTAAAAGTGAATTTTTTTTTGAATAATTTCTAAACTAATTTGAATAATCATCTTTCTTACTATTTACCCATATTCTTTTATAAAGTCTTACTAGGAACTGTTTACACAAATAAATGATTGAGCTGTACTAATCCCATGAAAATAGTGCAAAGGTAATGATTTGAGAGAGTGAACAATTTATTTATTTAGTGTTATATTCATCGAAATCGATTTTTATTTGGGCCCATCACATATCTTCTCTTATTACATGCAATGCTGTCGGTAAAAGTATAATAAAAAATTCATTAAAAACTTTTTATGCAATAGGCAAGCAAATATTTCTTTTTTATAATGTTGCTTTTTAATATACATACTATCTGTATGTAATGTAATGTATGTATATAAATATGTTTGTTTTATGTATGCATTTATTATTTAAAAATTTAAATCTTTTCACTTTATTGCGTTCCAAAATATCAAAATATAAACGAAACCATATTAATGAATAAAGTTTTAATTAAAATTTCTTCTGAACACATATTTCTTTTTCTTATACACATTAAAAATAATTTAAAATCACTTGGAAACCCTTAACAAAGTATTTCACTAATTAAATATCCCTTTTTATTTTGCAAAATAAATTTTTTTTTTTCTCAACTTTACTCTAAGTCTACTATTTCAAAGGACATCATATGTGTATTCGTAAAGGTATGTGCGTATATGTACACAAAATGGTAAATAAAATATGTGATTTTAATTAGTAAGAATTTTTACACAGAAATCCTTTTCCACCTAGAGAGCAAAACAAAAACAAAAAAAAAAAAAAATTATAAAAAACTCATAATAAAAAATCTACAAAGAACTTTTCTACTCTTTTATAATAAATTTAAAACAAGGAAACCAAAGAGTTTACCCCTGGTTGTCAACAACATTTAGAGTTCAAAATTGTAACCATTACCATAGAATTTGGTTTGCTTTCCTTTCCACTTTTTTTTTTATATTATTTCTTGCTCATTTTTGTTTGTTTTTTTTTTTGTTGGTTTGGGTTTTTGTACTTTGGTTTTTTAAAAATTTTCTTTTCTGTAGAGTTTTGTAGACAGTCCTAAATCTTTTCATTTAAGGAAATTTATAAGGTATTATTATTTTTACCTTTTTTTAATTTACAGAGTAATTCATTATTGAAACAAATAAAAATATTGTAAAACAACGTTTCGTTTTTTCATTATTTCAGTGTTACGAAAGCAATTCATTCTTTGCATTTAAAAATTGCAACACTTCAAGTGCATTTTTATCATTATGAAGGTATAATTGTATACTTTAAATATATTCAATCCGAAATTTTTATGTATTTCCAAAACAAATTTCGTATAAGTAGTTTTCCGATTAATAAATTTCAAGCCTCATAGTTGGAACGCACAAATATTTTAGGAATGTTATTTGAACATTGCATTGGATTTTACGAAAGCTAAATTGGGTATACTATTGTTTGGACGTTGAAAAAATTTTTTTTTAAAGAAAAATTCTAATTTCATCATGGTCTCTCTTCAAATTTGATTTTTTCGTAAATGAAATGAACCGTTTATAGGGAAACAAATGAAAAGACGCAAGTTTGCAAAAATTATCTTATTTGCATAACTTTTAGGCGTTGCGACAAGTGTTTTCGATAAAATTTTGCAATATCTGTTAATCTGTTAATATTATTACAAAAGTTTTGATGTTCTGTAGTTAAAGGTTAAGTAAAACACGGATAATTCAGTATTTACTTAGTACTCAAATTTTATTGCGTTAGAGAAATAAGAAATTTCCTTTTATAAAGTTTGCACTAATTATTCAAATATAACACTTTTAGCATTTCATCAAATATATTTTGAATAAACTATTCGAACATTGTAGAACATTTCAAAATCATTTTAATTCACCCTGTAAAAAAAATTCTATTTATAATATTATTTATGAAAAAAATTTCTATAATAATCAAAGAACAAAAACAAATTAAAATATAAATTTATAAATTGAACAAAAAAATTGTACTTAAATCTCCTAACTTAAGCCCTAAAATAAATATAACAAAATAATTACATGAATAAAATTTTATTTTTAACTAAAAATAATTATAATATTCTAGAAAATGAGAAATAATTTACTTGTATTACTTAAGGTTTAATTTATAATTATGTGTAATAATAATTGAATACTTTTTGGGATTCATTTTAAAATAAATTTGGAAAGGATGGTGTGTATTTCCTTTTTTATTTTCATTTAATTAAATTTATTTGATTATTTCAGTAAATAAAGGCCTCCTACAATTCAGATATATTGGAATACAATAATATTATTAGAGTAAGAGAAAGCTTGTTAAACAAATTATTATTTCAAAATCTACCTAAGAAAAGAAAAACCTAAGAAAATTTAAAATAAGAAATAAATACTGAAATTTGTGCATAGAAAATTTAAAAAATTTTCAAATTAATTTCAACATCAAAAATTACTTTCTAAAAATTAGCATAGAACAGAAATAATGTTTATGCTAGCCTTCATTTGTGTGTGAAATTTCATTTTTCTATCATGAAAATTATGGAAATCTTACAAACATTCCGACAGAGTTTTGATGAAATGCTGACAGTTTTGCAACAGAAAAATTAAATTGTAGGTTTTTAAAGGTTTTTAGGAGACAGATATGTTTTTCAATTTAATATTCATTTAGCTAAATAAATCAGAACTGAAATTTATAATATAACAGAAACTAGTATTTATAATTACAATACTCTTTAAAAAAAACTTTAAATATTTTACTTAACATTCACTTTTTACCTTAGATAAACTCAATTATGTGGAGATGTTCGAAATAAATAATTGTTCTATCCGTCAAAACAATATTAATTTTATAGATATTGTGACGTTCGTATAAGATTGGTTTCAAATGTATATATTATATATGTAGATGAGGACAGTTTAAAGCCAATATTTTTCAATATTCTAATTTTTTTTGTAAATTTTTCACCAAGATCGCAAAAGTAGTCCGAACCATTCAATAGAATTATAGGTGCATTCGTTTCAGAGCTAATTGGCTAAAAATCCAAAATTTCTTACATTCACCCATAAATTAGAACCATAATTTATTTTTGTAATAACAGAATGTTTCTAAAATGTCAGAAATCTTCTAAATGTAAAATCTAAAAAACAAAAATATTTTTTGACAACAATTTTCCCTTCTATTTGATATTTGTTCAATGCTTATTTTAGATTGTACCAAATGTTTATATTAAAATTCATTGCTCTGGTATATTTTTAGTCTCTAGAATATTTTTAAATTTGAATTTGTTTTTGGTTTTTTTTCTGTTGTATATTCTCTACTAGGCAAACAACCAAATTGTATTCACTTTAAAAAACCTTTATGAAAACATTTTCTAAAATATTTTTTTTTTTACTTATTTGCACAATCAAAATTATTTTTACCCAATAAAAGTTAAATTTTTTTTTTGTTTGGTTTTTGTTTCTACTTTTAAATGAACCTTTGATTACATTTATTACAAGTATTGAAAAAAAAAAAACGGAAGTACCCTTAATATTTGAATATAAAAAAAATCTCATTGTGTCCATATTAACAAAAAAAAAAAAATGTTTAATTTTCATATACCAAATTCAAAGTTTTTTATTTTATTTTTATTTTCCAACTAAATTTTCCTATATATA